TTTTGTAATTATTGTATTTTTTCATTATCAATATATTTTCAATAATTGTGTGTTTTCACTATAAATTTTTAATAATTATTGCAGATTAAACTATTGTTATTTATCGGAGATAATACTATTAATTTAGCTAAAATTATGAGTGTTCATGAGTTGGTTCGAACTGGTCATAGGCTATTTGGCCAACCAAATTGACCTGGTCAAGTTGGGGAGTTGGTCTGCTGAAGCCGACTAACCATTTGTGAAAACTGACCCACTAAAGTTGTATCAGTTTGGGTCGGTTTTCACGATTCAAAAGATTTAAACTTAAAAATTAAATTAAATTTTAAAAATTACAGTGAAATTGTAGGTACATGGTGGTCACTTAGACCATTAGAATAGAGGAAGCACCAAACTAATACTATGTGAATGCCTGTAATGAGTCCATAATTCATCGCACATCTGTGATGAATTATAAACTCATAGTCGAAACAGGTTGTGATGAATTTTGGACTTGCGTGGATTTGTGATGAGTTTAAAGTCATCACATAATCGTGATGAGTGCAGACTCACCATAGATCAGAAATAAATAATAGAAACACGTGCATCATTAAATAACACGCGTGACAGGACTCCCCGTGAGCCTAATGAGGGTAAGCAATCTAAATAGTGACGTCACTCATGCCATGCCTTTTTAAAAGGGTCACGAAAGAAAGTAGCACACGCGTATTATGAGAATTCTCAGACGAAAGGAAAGTTCGTCCTCGAGATATGTCATAAGACACGTAGTGAAACCCTAGTAGTATTCCCTAACAACTAACACCAAATCCAAGATTCCCTTTCCTAATGGGAATCAAACAACTTTGGGTTTTGGCTCCTTCCTTTTGGGACTTGGGGATCCCTTCTTATAAATAGGGGTCCAATTCATAATGAGATAATCATTCTATCACCTCATTTGCCATAGCCTTTAGCCTACCTCCCTCACTCAGCTTTCCTTTGTCCTTCAAGGAGACTCCCGTACGTATAAAATATGGGACATTTCTTACTTTTCATATTAAAAATTATATTTAAAATATAAAACATTAATATATATATCCATGGTTAGGTCATTTGATTTTAGTTGGTTTACAAATGGACAAAGTAAAACTGATCCAAATTGGTTGAATTAGGAATTTTTTGAACCAAAGACTACATAAAAATACTAGATAACTGACCAACTCAAGTCGAGTTGATCGGGTTGGTCGGTTTCATAAGCTTGATGAATAAACCTAACTAAAATTAATTATTATTATTTTTTGTATTATAAAAAAATTATTAAAAATAGTATATAAAATATGAATAATTATTAATTATTTAAACAATTGAAAATATAAAACAATTGTATACTCTTATGTGTTTCTATTAGGGTCATTTACTAGAACAAACCTTATAGTTTTACATATTTACTTAAACCTACCTTATAGTTTTCATTTTACAAAAATATCACATATATTTTATAATTTATTTACTTAATCAACCTTTCATTAAGGAGTATTTATTTTGCCATTAGGCCCATGATTTTATATTCCAAAAAATAGCCTTTAACACTTTTTTATACAAAAAACAAAATTGGCCAAATATAGCCAATAGAGTAGTTGCTCATGTCTTATTAAGGGCAAAATGGTATTTTTATTCCTATTTTCTTTTGATTAAATTTATTTAAATGAACATTAAGGTCAACACTGTCATTTTTCAATATCATCTAATGGAAGATTGATTAAATCCGTTGTAAATTATAAGTGGTGTTTTAGTAAAATGCTAACTATAGGGTAGATTTTTAGTTAATCCATGAAACTATAAGAGTATTTTAGTAAATGACCCTTTCTATTATTTATCTTTTACTTAATAAATCCCGTGCATCGCACAGGTCCCCGCTAGTATACCTTTTATAACATAACAAGGAGTGCAATTTGGGTGGGTTAGGGTTGGGATTTTGTCAAAAGTTAAAACTTTAATGGGCCTGACCCAAAGCCTGAACCTAGAATAGTGCAAAAAATTAACTTGGGCCAACCTGAGTTGCACCCCAAGAGGATATTTAAAACCCTTAGGCTGTGTTTGCTTTGAAAGAATATTTCCCTTCTTTTCCCTCCCTTTCCCTACCTTTTCTTTCAAACCAATACAAATTATTAAAAGGGTCATTTACTAAAGCACCTCCTATAGTTTCATGGAATTTACTAAAACCTATCCCATAGTTTGTATTTTACTAAAACAACACCTATAGTTTGCTATCAATTTACTTAATCGACCTTCCATTAGATGATAGTGGTAAATGATATTTTTGACCCTTATAGCCATTTGAATAAATTTAAGGGCCATTTGTTAAAACACCCCTATAATTTCATGGATTTACTAAAGACTACTTTATAATATGCATTTTACTAAACACCCCCTATAATTTCATGGATTTACTAAATCCTACTTTATAGTTTGCATTTTACTAAAACACCCGCTATGGTTTGCAATCGGTTTACTTAATTGACCTTCCATTAGATGACAATGTAAAATGACAGTTTTGATACTAATGTCCATTTGAATAAATTTAACCAAAAGAAAATAGAAATGAAAATACCATTTTTGCCCCTAATAAGACACAAGCAGCCACTTTATGTGGCTCTATTTGGCCAATTTTACTTTATGTACGAAGGAGTGTATGGGTAATTTTGAATAAACAATCATGGGCCCATGCCCTTAGAACATTTTCTGCCCAGTTTTGGTGATCATGCTACTATTTTCAGATGGTAAAGCAAACACTTCTTAGTGAAAGGCCGGTTAAGTAAATAGGTTGTAAATTATAGGGGTATTTTAGTGAAATAAAAAGTATAGAGTAGGTTTAAGTAAATCTGTGAAACTATAGGGAGTGTTGTAGTAAATGACCCTGAATTTAACTAAAAGAAAGTAAAAATGAAAACATCTATTTTGCCCCTAGTATGACATGAGTGATTATTCTATTTGGTTTTAATTTATTTGGTCAAATTTGTTTTCTATACCAAGAAGTTTTAGGGGTATTTTTGGAATAAATAATGCCATTGAACATTTTCCACTCAATTTAAATGATCATGTTACTACTTTCAAATGACAAAACAAACATTGGTTAAATAAATGGGGTACAAATAACAGTGGCAATTGGGCGGGTTGGGTTGGGTTTTGTTTGGGTTGAGTTTCAACCCAATTCATTTGACCGTCAACCCATTAATGACCCAGTTATATAAAATTAAATGGGTTGGGTTCAACCCAAACCCGCTCTAACCCAATCCAACCCTCCCAAACCCATTAATCTTATATTTATGTACTTAAAACAAAAAACTAACTCCTTATTGACAAATAAGTTGGTCATAGCTTGGAGGTAATAGTAGTTGCTATTTATACAAGTGGTAAAGGTTCAAATCACATTACATGCATGCTATTTTTACACAAGCGGCAAAACCATTTGACTATGCTCGAGTTTCGGTTTTGACCGAACCACTTAGGTTCAAACCAATCATACTAACATGAACTATCTAATTGGATTGTCTTCTAACTAATCACATCTAGAGTGGTTGAATCGTTTAGATCTGGATCAGTCTGGTTGGACCAGATTGGACTGGTTTAGTCAATGGTGGATTGACTTGGACCGGCTCATATCAGTTTTGTGCACAAGTTTGGGGTTGAACCGATTAGATTGAAGCGAGTCAAGAGAAGTAAATCAAATCGGTTCAGATTCGGGTCAGGTTGTACATATACGAGCCGAACCGGACGATACAAACCGGGCCAAGCAAACGGGGCAGATTTTGGGTCAGACCATACCGTGGTCTGGACCGAACCATCTCGCCCGCCACCATTTCAGATTCGGGTTGAGTCGGGGCTAACCAACCCAAACGAGCCAAATTGAAGTGATTGGGTTTGTTCATATTTAGACCAAGTTGAGTTGGTCCGAACTCTGGTCAAATTGATTTGGATTTATATCGATTTGGGTGAAGTATATTGATTCGAGACAAAACTAATTTTAGTCAATAATTAATAGAAAATTAATGCATTAATTACAAATTATTTCATTCAATTGAAGAAAATTAAAAAAATGGCTAAGGAATTAATACTTATATCTTTAGTGATTAACCCAATGGTTACCCATAACCCAATCTAACCCGACCCATTTAAATTGACCGAATGGGTGATCAACCCATTTCCAACCCCTCAAATAAATGAGTGGATTGGTGGATTAGATACTGGGTGGATTCAGCGGATTGGGTAAAAAATTATACTATAGAGGTATTTTAGTAAAATAAAAATTATAAGATTGATTTAAATAAATTCATGAAACTATAGGGGGTGGGATTTCTATTAAATGACCCTTATTAAAATTATTAAAATGACAATTTCGTTTAATAGGACTAAATTATCACCCACCTTCTAACAGCCAAAATTTTAGAAGTAAGATTAGCTTGTTTTGAAAGCAAGAACTTCATTAGCAAGCTAGCCTCTAAAAAAGATAGATAAGATGTGGTGGATGAACAGTGTATTGTCTATTTTGTCGTTTGTTTTTCCCGTAGCGTTTCTTCAACTGAAGACTAGTTCATTGATACCGGGAAAGGGAAACAAACCCAAGCTAAAAGACAGAAAAAAGGCGTGTCATTTTAGCAGTGGCCAGTAGGGGATGAAGTTGAAAATGAAAAATTAACCAGCCAAAGACCTTTGCCCTTGCCCTTAAAAAGGCGAAAAAATCGGAAAGCAGAGCAAAATCTGGAGAAAAAGAAAGAAAGTGGGG